CCCAGCTCCCTGTGGGCTGTGTGCCCCACGAGGTGACCCCCGCCTGCTCTAGCTCTGATGGCTACTTAAGGAGAGAGACTGATTTGTCCTGTATCCTAAACTCCCCACTAGAAGCCGGTTCTGTGCTCTGACATCCCATCTCCTGCGAGCCTGCCGTCTTCTGAACCCTGGGCTGCCTGGGCTCTGCCTCTCTGTCCACAGGCCACACACACCAGACAGCGTGGACCTTGTGGTGCAGGTGGGAGGTGCAGACCAGGAGGGCTGCCTGGGGGAGGGGCCATAGGAAGGGACAGTGCCAGGAAGCACGGAGGGTGAGGGTTTGGCACCCTGGCTGAGAGAATCTACCAGACAGGAACAGGGGCAGGAGCAGAGAGGCAGAGGCTGGAGGAGAGCAGACTCCACCCAGGCCAGCGGCAGGCTGGGCTCTGTGAAGGCCACGTGCGGCCTGTCCACAGACTCCAGGACCACTGATAAGGGGTGGCCTTCGGTCCCTCTAGGAAGGGGCCCCACTTTCAGCTCCGAAGTGCTGTCTGAATCCTGACGTCGCGTCAACCGCAGGTGCGTGGTCAGCTTGGGGCACGTCTGTTGTTTTAAAACATTATGCTTTAGGCCGAACAATATGACGTTTCTAATCCTGTTGGTCAAAAATGGTTGCACGTTGGCACTTTCACGTGGTTCAACTAAATGTTACAGCTCACGAGTGCCCAGCCCCTCCCCCAGACAGGTGCCTGGAATGTTAAGATTTTTACCAGGAGTCTCAGACACTGGTGCCATGTGTTCCATGGCACTCACTCTCTGGCAGGACTGGGTGCTGGGCAGGGATCTGAGCATCCACCCTTAGCTCGAATGTCGGCTCTGCCCTGGCCACCTTGGCCTCGGCAAATTGTGCCACGTCTCCCAGAGCCTTCCCCTGTTCTGAAAAGTGGACTCGTGCGCACATCAGCTCCTCTGATGGTTTGAGGTTCAGACGAGATGTCCCAGGCAGATGGTCAATGGGAACTGGGTCCTGCTGTGGTCAGCATCCCTCAGGAACCTGTCCCTACCCAGGGGGGTGCAGGGCCCTGGTCTGCTTGCCCTGGTGTCTCCAAACCTGGATCCTCTACCGAGTCCTTGTCTTGCAGCGCGGTCAGTCCTGGCGCAAGGCTCACACTCACCTCATAATCAGGGCTGTCAGGTCTTGGGGCCTCTGCCTCAAGCCAGAAGAGTCACAAGCAGGTTACAAGCCACCCCTCTTCTTTCCAGCCCGAGGCCCCGAGATCTGGATATTCCGCTACATTTAGACAAAAATAACCAAACCTGCTGATGTGGGCTGACTGTTCCCCCAAATTCAGATGGAGGGAATTCGCCCAGACCCAGGGTGCGGTTGTGTCTGGATCAGGGACAGGTGGGGCTGCATGGTGGGATCAGTGTCCTGACAAGAAGGGACGTCAGAGAGCTTGCCCTGGCTCTCCCTGCACCATGAGCACAGCCGGATGGCGGCTGGTGCGCCTGGAAAGGCCCTCACCGGGCCCCGACCACACTGGCACCTTGCCCGCAGACGCCCAGCGCCCAGAGCCACGAGAGAGACAGAGACAGACGTCTGCTGTTTAAGCCACCTGATCTGCAGTGTTGTCCCGGCCGCCCGAGCTGACCAAGACACCACGGCCTGAGAAGGTACAAGAACGGCAGTGAATAGGGAAATCAGAAGCTTGTACCCTCTCGTTCCCACTGTCCCGGAACTGCAGACACACACATAACGGTGGCACAGCCTGGTGACCCAGCCAGAAAGTCCAACTGGAGCCAGAGTGAAGGTGCATGCGCTCTCACACCGCTGGCCTGAGGGGCTCCTGATCATCCCAGAGCCACTTTATTTTACTTCTGTGATGACCACAGCACTCACTGTTCACGTTTAATGGGGGAAAAAAAGGCAGCCCCAACCTTCTGGGGACGTGCTAGGGTGCCATGAATGCCCTGTCTCCAAGGGGACATGCTGCAGCAACGCTGTCTCAAGGCAGACTTTGGGAAACCTTGTTAATACTTCCCAAGGTTCAATTTCCGGGACTGGGGCCCAGAGTCTAAAATAACAGACTAGCAAGTGAGAAACACTTACTCCATGTGGCCACAAGGAAGCTGTCAAGGAAAGTCTTTTCAGATACTGAGACAGTGAGATCGCCTTCAGTGCAAACAGGAGAGAAGCAGATGCTTTAAATGCTTGCATGTCTCAACACTTCAGCAGCCAGTGGTCTACAACTCAGGCTGTAAAAACATATTAAGCCACAAGTCCAAGTTCTGATAGAAAAGTTTTCTCTTAAATAATTTAAAACACATACAGACCTACGCACCCCCAACGTGAACTCTCATCATCACAAATTTACAAAGCTTGTGAATAAACTGCAGGTCAGTGCTGAGTTACGTGCACCATTCCACCCCAGGGCAGCACACAGACCGAAACGCCACGAATGCTGGTTCACACAAAGTGGAGCTAAATCCTAGACAGACGTGTGACAGCAATACCAACAGGAGACACAGGGTTGGCTGACTTGACCAAACAGAATGACAGCCATCTCCAGTAAAGCCGGTGGGTCCAAGTGCCAGGGCCCTGGGTCAGTCTGCGGCAGTCACAGTTCTCAGCACAGACCGATTTCCTAGGGGGGTGGTCAGCACAATGGATGCAGGACATGACACTGTCCCACCACAGAAAGTGTCAGAAATTCTTCTTTGGGGTCAGGTCCTGCAACTCCGGTCAGCTACAGCCTCTGGCTCCTTAGCCCTGACTCAGGAGAGGACAGTGAATGGACAGGTCTCCGTTGGGGCTGTCTGCTGGCGCTCCCACAGCCAGGCTGCTCCCTAATCCAGGCAATGTCCAAATGCAGGACAGGACCCTTCTACCAGGACATGACGCTAGCTCCGGCCTGCCCTAGGGGTCTCCCAGACCTGTGCTTGACTAGGCTGCCACGTATGGACATGGAGGCGGACTCCTGGGTGAAGACTGGAGCTGGGGCCTAGGAGTTATCCACCGCTGCTTGGCATCCACCCAAAGGCCCATGGCAGATGGGTAGCCCAGGTCCTCTAGAGGGCTGCCTTCATCCTCACAGCTAGCCAGAAGCTGTGGGCTTTGCCAGTGTAAGGCCGTGGGAGGCCATGTCAGCTGCTGCCCCACAGACCCCCCAGTGACTCTGTCCTGGCCTCCCCTGCACCCTCACATGCAGCAGGACTGCGTGCAGGCCGGGAGCCCTGCCATCCCGGGTGCGCGGGCCGGCTCAGGGCGGTGGTCAGGGGATGCCCTCCTTCCTCTGGCAGCACTGTGAGGGCGGCGCCGACCAGTCGTAGACATAGGACAAGCGCAGCTGTACCTCCCGCTTGCACAGGCGGCCCTCGCGCGCCAGCGTCTGGTGCTTCTCCAGCATGTCCTCCAGGCTCTGCTTGTGCGTCACCAGGTACTGGTTGCTGCAGCCACGGGACTTGTACTCGGTGTCGAAGCGAGGGTCGTGCTCCCGCTGCACGTCCACCGGCGCCAGCCAGGCGCCCAGAGACACGTCCTCGCTGTGCCAGGCGCGCAGGTACTCGCGGCTGAGGCGCAGGTAGTGCACGAGGTCGGCGGAGAGCACATAGCCGCCGCCCAGCGCGTAGGGCAGGTAGTAGTCGCAGAGCTGCCAGGCGGCCTCGCGCCAGCGGCCCCCTGGCCGGACACGGCCTCGGTCGGAGAAGAAGCCCCAGTAGAGGCGGCGGC